GGATACTTTCATGTTTTGTTCTAGAATATTCTAAAAAATTTTTTGCGTACTGTACTGTACGCGGCACATCACTAGTTTTAACCATTCAACTCAAAAGAATATGGATAAAATTGAAGAGATATTACCTAAAGACATAATACTCATTCTGACCATAACTATTAACACTACTTATTACATAACCATTTGTAACGGGATCGTTTTGTTGTCTATTAGCTACTACATTATTTCCATAACCAGTTGTCATCATTGAAGTATCTACAGATCGATTATTGTAACGATTTTGTCTATATTCTATATACATAAGCGAAGTAGATAAAGCCCATAGAATTGTAAGAGCAAAGATACACAAATTCACAATGGATAAAACGGAAAATTGAGAGATAATTCCAATATTCTTAATAATAGCTATTGACATTATAAGGTATGCGAGAAATGATAACACACTCCACAATAATCTTAATCTCGTTACTTCATAATTAAAAATATGCCTCATAAAGAATTCACCATGATTATGTGCATTGATTAATCTCATAATGTGAAAAATCACACTCAGGAGAGCAATTAGAAGGATGATATAGTACCAATGACTAAGATAACTAAAATATCTAATAAGTATCATGGACACTAGTATAAATACCATAGATATGAAAGTTCTAATAGAAATAATTACACGTCTAGGCGTTGACGGATTATTCGTTGACCCACTGTTATTACTGATCGTATTGTTATCATTAGAGATAATGGGGGGTTGATACGGTTGATATGGCTGGGAGAAATATTGAGAAGTGTATGGATAAGTTGAATTGATGTTTGGTTGAAAATGTGGCTGAAGTGGTTGAACAATTTGCGGAGTTGCATGTATGTTCTGAGGAGATTCTTGGACGTTTGGAGTTTGAAGAACTACTTGGTCATATGGTGGAGGTTGTGAGTCTTGGACATCTTGGACGTTAATTGGAGTATCAGTAACATTTGGCGGAGAGTTTGTAATGTTTGGCGGAGTATCAGTAAGATTTGGTGGAGAATCGGTATCGTTTGGTCGAGATGACTGTGGTGTGGACGATGTTATATCAATGTCTTGCGTTTTGGGATATTGAGTCATTTTTATGATAGTTTTTAAAAAGTTGCAAAAAACGACGATTAAAATTAATGTACTTTGTACTACGTAATACGCACAGGGGCGTCATTCCTTATTAAGTTAATCTCGTTAATTCCATTATAAATTACACACACAATCGAATCGACAATCGAATCGACATGTTAAACTAAACATACCAGGCAGGGATATTATTTATGATTTTAAATTTCTATAAATAACAATAAATATTTGTCACAAACTCCTGCTTTGTTAGATCATCCGAATTTTATATCCTTTTTTGCAGAAATTCACATTTCGGCAATTACCATCACTAATTTCATTTAAAGAATAGCTACTACAAAACTCTTAAATAGGTAAATAATATATATCGTAATAAGAAAATTTCAGAAACACACCATTGTACTACACATCGTGAGAAGGTGCTGTGAAAATTTACGGAAAATTAACTGCTGGAAAAGTACTAATTTATTTAAATTCATACTACGTACGTACGTACATAAACAATAATGTGTACGTACGCACGCATGTACGATTAAAAAATAAATAATCGGATGTTTAAAGGGACACCAACACTCTGCACCAGGTTTTGTCCTAGGTTGATTGGCTGACGTCGGCCTGCATTAAACAGAATTTGAAGGTAGAGTTAGTTTACGTTCATGTTAGTGCTAGAATAAAGTCTAGATAAGGTTATATACTAAAATTATGAATGGAATTTTGTTTTATTAAAAGTAGTTTTATAGCTAAAGTTTACACCCTATCAAATTATTTTCTCATCGTATGATAATTGAGTGCGTGAGAGTGAAAACCTGGAAACCGATTTAATGATTTACTATGATCGGTTTCCAGGTTTTCACTCTCACGCACTCAATTAATATATCCTGATTATTAAATCGTATGATTTGAAATTTTTTGAGGCATCGTTTGTCATAAACTTTAGAATTTTTTGAGCATCGATGAAATTTAGTTTTCTATTTATAAAGTTGAATGTCTTTATTAAAAATCATGTTTTTGTTCTGGGACCTTCTGGCTGTTTTCACATATTGCAAAATATTATAGAATTTAATTTTTATATAATTGATGCTCAATAATCATTAATCGATTCCAATCTCTATGCAGCTTCACTATATTGAGAGGTAACTATTTTTCATTATACTTATTGTAGCCGTTGAATGGGAGAGCTAATGAAACAATATAGATAATATGCCGATTTAATTCAAACGGTGTACGGAAAATAAGGATAGCTTTGGGCAAGTGAAATGGGTCTTTTATAACTGTTAGGGCACTAATTGGTCGATATGATGTTACAGATCGAACACTTTGAGATGATGATGGGTGATTCAATGACGGGTGAAGCTGTTAAGGTGATAATAAGGCGATGATCTTAAGGACGGTGATGATAATTTGGTGTTATCTTAATAGGATGTTGATGTAAAAGTGGTCGATGATCAAATAATATCAGTGAAAACTTTAAGTTCACGCGATGGGTTAACAGAGTCTAGTAACTGATCGTAATTCTCGTTCTCTGCCACAATCTCCACAAGTAACCAACGTGAATGGCAAATTTTGATTCCACAAGTATACCAGAATACGAGTCTTAATAAGCCAAATCGAAGTTACAAGTCAATTCAGTCCGTCGAATTGAGTCTTGAAAAGGTTATTGAAGTTACAAGTCGAATTCAAAAGATAAAGTCTCAAGGGAAAATTCAGATAAGTAAATACTTTTCATTGTTATTATTTATTAGTTATTGAAAGTGGACATGAACTGTTGGGGTGCGCGGTATACTATGTAAATCAAAACATATATGTGGTCATATAATAAAATTTATTAATGAATTTTTTTTTAGATAGTGATCGATAGGTAGTAAATTTATACGAATTTTTAATTAGATGCACAGCCCAACGGTTCGAAAGTTTTGGATAAAATTTCGCAAAGACTAGTATTACGTCCCTACAAACAAAGCTATAGAGCCTTTTCCTTAAAAACAAACCTAAATTAAATTCTTTCTTGCGGTTCTTTTTTATGAAAAAAAAACACATAGTATATTACAACAGTTTTTTTCAAATTTAAATAAAATAAAAATTTCTATAGCTTTGTCTGTAGAGACGTAATACTAGTCTTTGCGAAATTTTATCCAAAACTATCGAACCGTTAGGGCGGTGCATCTATTTAAACATTCGTAATAATTATTATAAATTTACTACCTATCGATCATTATCTAAAAAATAAATTTGTTATATGACTACATATAGTTTTGATTTACATAGTATACCTATACATGAGTGTCTAAATTATTTTTTAACAAAGTAATTTCGACAAACATTTCGATATTGCTAGTTTTTTATATGAATTCCACAAAGTAGCTATACTACCTAATGCATTTTGGCATAAAGAATTCAAATAATTTCACTAAGAATGTTGACAACTATGAAAGTTAATTTCACCACTAATGAAATTAATTTCGACATACTAAATGTCGAAATAATTTTTTATTAAGAGGAGTAATTTAGACACCCATGTATAAGTATACCGCACACCCCAATGAACTGTCGTTCTTTATTGAATTTAAGGCACTTATATACATTTATTTTTCTAGGACGTTTACGATTAATTTTGAGCGAATTTACTTTAATTCTAACGTATACGCTCTTTTTTGGACGTATACACTTAAATTTGAGTGTATACGCTCAGGGCGCAGGGATCTACAAATTTGTGTAAGCACGTATACGTGTATTTTGAGCGTATACGCACTTGCATGGCCGCCAAGCCACAATTTACTACCATTTTTGTATACTTGATTAATATACTATTACACGAGGAAAAAAAGATCGGTTGCTGCTTTCAAAATGGAATTGGGTACATAGAAATAACAATAATGACAAAAGGCTATACTAAAAAAAAAAATAAAAAAAAAATAAAAACAATTAATTAAATCCAATGTTTTGTTATTAAAATTTTAATTTTAACGTGTATATTAATGATGCCTGACGAAACTAATTTGCCCTGACGAAATAGTTTCGTCAATGGTTTCGTCTGACGAAACCTGACGA